TTTCAAGCGAAAGTTTGATGATCATCTAAATTTTTTTTTTGTATCATCAACACTTATAAATTTACAGGTGATCATATTTGTGTTAGATTATATTTCTAGAAAATTTAAGGGGTAGTTATATGATAATTTTGGACAATCTCGGGCAGTCAAATACTTATAACCACTACTGTATTACTATAAATTTCTCAAATTTACATAATAATTGTGAGTATGTGCGTCGAGTTTTCCAGGCTATGAATTCTTTATTCATGTAAAATTATTATAATTATAATACAATAAATCAATTTATTTTTTATTTTCACTTCGCGTTTCTGCCACAATGCATGTTAGTGTGTGCGACATAAATTAGCACATTTTTGATTCTCGTTAAAGTGCATATAATGTAATAGGTGATACTTCACAAATCATCTGTAAAACTATACTTGTGCGACAAAATAATTTTACATATAAATTGATCTCCAAAATATTTCCTTACAACATTTAGCAGAATAAGATTTAGCGAAATAGCATTTATTAATATGTATATTTGCTCCAAAGTTACAGGCTATTTCTATTATATTCTGAACTGAACATATTTATATAACGTTATCAGATCTTAGTATTAAGCAGTCAGGCGAAAAAAAAAGTTCATATATGCATTATCCCTAACACCCTTTGTAAATGTTGAGATCTTTAATGCACATTCCACATGTTTTTTACTAACGAACATAAATTTGGCATAAAGTGCCTCGCATATTCTCCCGCTTCGACCTCAACATGAACTTGAGCTCATAGAAAATGTGAATGGAAAATTGCAAAACATTTAAAAGGAAAGTATATGAAATTTGAAATTATAGTTTCTTATTTTTTACCAAGCATTATATTAACAAAAACTCTTATATCTTTAATTAGTAAATATGTCTAGCTCATCAACCGAAATCTTCGCTCCATTATGCAATTTTTTAAAAACCTCTTCCTTAGATAAAATAACCACTTCTAGTATAATTACCCAATAATAGAATTGTTTCAAAATTCAATTAGAAAATGAAGATTTCAATTGTCTTATGAAAATATTAAAGGATATGGAAAATGAGATTAATGATAATAAACGTAAATAGCACCTTAAATCGTTACAGTATATTAACCAAGTAATTTACATTATTTTGTTCTTTGCACAATAGGAATAATATGATGAATACGTTGTTTAGACAAAAATAAGTGTAGTGCAATTGAAAAAGCGACATATTGTCAGCGAGAATCTTTTTTATTATGCTTACGATGATTTTTAAGGATAATAATACCAGCTAATTCTGATTAGGATGAGATTTTGCGCAAAAAATAAAATAATAATGTCTTTCTGAATTTTATTAATCCATCCATTTATTTTTAGATACGATTCATTAGAAATGAGCTAATTTCATTAAAAGATATGGGTTCTTACGAGAAAAATTCGAAGAAGTAAATTGAAAAACTTTAACCTTAAATAATATAACACTTTTGAAAGATAAAATTAAGGTAATCAATATATATATTTCTTATCTCAGAAATTTCATACCATATTTTTTTTGAAATTTTCTCATAAAATAAATATTTTTGATTGGATTAGAAAAAAGATACACCAGTGCACAAACATATTCTTACGACAATAAGTAATATTGATATTAATAAAATATTAAATGATGATCCGCTGTGTATTGGAATAATAAATCTTAGTTTAGAAAAATATAATATACCAGAAAGTAATTACGAATCTCTTGTTGTATGTATACCTTTATTTTTTTTTCTTTGATGAATTAGCTACTAAAATTACATTTTCATGTATTAATTATTTCTTATATTTATAAGGAGAGAAGGCTAATATAGAAACTTAAGCAAAGATGCAGGAGTAAAGAAAATATGTAACGAATTTATATCAAAGTGGAATGAAGTTTATAAATTACGAAAATTTGTGTTGCTTTTGAGAGATATTGTAATACATGATTAATGGATTGAAGATGATCATATCAAAGAATGTATAGCTAGCGAAATTACTGACATCTTTTTACAAGAAATTAAGCTGAACGCACTTCAAAGAGTTTCTGGAAGATCTGAAAATATGTTAGTAGAAATTATTGCTCGCTTAATAGACATAGCTATGTATCATTTACCTGTAGACTATGAGGTTGAAGTTACTAGGGCTGAGCGTCAAAGTAAAGCCAGCAAAAACCACAAAGTTCAGCAAAAAACTGGATCAAGAGGAAATAAACCAGATCTTATGTTCTGTGCTTACCTTCGCCAAAAGTGGGAAGAAATCGTTTTTTCGAAAGTGGTAAATGGGATACTGATGAAGATAAAATCTACTATGACCATAATAAATTAGTTCAACTCTGTTTAGATAGCACTAAAGAACTTGTAAAGAAATGCACGAAAAAAACATTCTATCAAAATTATATAGGATTCAGGGTTAATATTGCAGGTAAATATCTAGAGATCTATGGTTTAATAATGGAAAAAGAAATAAAATATCATCTTCTAGTCATTAAAGCAAAAATACCCCTTGGTAAAGAGTTAGTTGAGAAAATCGAAGAGTTCGTTTATGCTCTATTAGTTTTGCAAGTAAGTGTTTTTCTCATTTCTAAATAAATACTTAGTTATATAATGATACTGATATAAAAATCTCTAATTCCAGAATGGGATTTACAGAGTATTGTAAATAATTTTCAAAAAAGATCAAGGAAGATGAGTGATATAAGTCCTCCTTCACATGAAGCTGAAAGATTAAGCAAGAAAAATAGTGCAAATTTCTAAAAACATTTCTTTAGATTAACTATGCCAACATATCATATTTGTATTTTATTTTCCTATATCAATAAAGTGCCCTGATGGCTGATTATTTTTATATAATCATCTCTATTTTTTTCTTGACAATTTTTAATGACGGGAAGTGAGTTCTCCGTCATGTAAATTTAATAATATACTAATGGACTTTTGAATATTAACATATAAAACATAAATAATATTATATTACACAAGCATGCAATTTCTAAAGTAACTGATTTATTAAAATGATGCATTGCCAAGCTTGGCTGAGAATGATAAAATTAGGGCTGAGAATATTAAGCTTAAGGCCAGAGTTGCAAAATTGGAAGTAAAAAATTTATCTGTATCGTGAAAAACGTGATCTTGTATTAATACTGGCTGATAAAAGTGATCAGTATTAAAATTTATAACGCACACGTGATTTGATCAGAGTTGTATTACTAGTAGATCTCTCGTGATATTAATGCGTAAATTTATTTTTTTAAATTCTATGAATGCATTGAATGCTCTGAATGCTCTGTCAGAATTCTTAGATTTTTAGAATTTTTTATTTTCTATATAAAATAACTAATAATATACTGACACCATCTTTTCACATATATTACTCGAAGCAACTTAACCAACTTCCTCACTCTATCAAAATAGATACATGGCGACACTTTACAACTCGAAAATATCCGTTATCACTGGAACAGGCAAGTAGTATTCACCTTAAAGTGAAAGATTTGTTAAATAAAGCAGTTGGAAATTATATTAAGAAAAAGGAATATTAGAAGATAAAGGGGACTGAGCCTATTACTAGCGACTGTGAAACTTCGTTAAGACGAGAAAATAAAGAGTTATGTATATCAAAACAGGCATTGGAAAAAAAGATTGAAGAGCTTCTCGATTTGCAAGAGTAATATAAGTCTCATGAGGTAGCCATAACCAGGTTTTTGGAGGAGAGTGACGGGAAAGTCACACAATTATCAGATTCAGTAGCTTTCTTTAAAAGTATAATTCCTGATACAAAAAAAGCTATTGCATCAGCTGAAAAGTCCATTGACCTATTAGAAAATAGATACCAGAATCTGGAGGATATTATTTCTGTTAAAGATAGAAAAATTATCGCTCTTATTGATCAGATCTTTTCCAAAACAAAGCATAATGATGTAACTATAGAACTGGAAATATATTCTAGTACTCATGAAAGAAAATTATGGGCGAAGAGGCGTAGTGAATCTAAACATGATCTAGAAATCTGAAAAAAATATACATTTCGACCTACGCATTCGCATAGTCTATGATTAAGATTCAATATCATTTTTTTCGATTCTCTGAGCCTCATCAGAATCTATCACAATATGCAGTTGACTCATTCCATTTTTCTTTTATAATCATAAAAAAGAATGGTATTTCGGAGACCTCATCCAAGGCAGAGAAGAACATGTAAAGAATATAAAGCTGAGCTAGAGGAGGAGAACTATCATCTTCGTAGTGAATTGCAAACAAAAGTTGATACTAATCATCAGAATGAGAGACGAATTAATCAACTGGAGTAAGATTATTTCCAGTGTGAACAAGAAATTCAAGATCTCAATAGAGAGATAAAGCGCCTTGAAAATGCTTCAAAAGAGAAGATAGTAGAGTTAAAATCTGAAATCTTTACCTTAAAAAGTCAGCTATATCAAGCTAGGAAAGATGTGCGAGATAAGGAAAAATATATTTCTAGTTTAGAAGAGCGATTAGTAGAATCTGAGAAACAAGTTGAGAAATTGCGATATAGGATTAAGACTATCTTATCATAGAAAAATTCACCTAAACGAGAGAATTCTCCAGACTTGTATAATTCCGATGATAATATGACCACAATTACAGAGCTAGCAAATGCTATAGATGGTTATGTGAATAATAAAGTGACAGATAGAGATATTCTTATAGACCAAATAAAAAAGGCAACAAGGCAAATTTGCTAAAAAGAGAATAATTTACATCAGGATTTAGCTTGTAAGCAATGAAGACGTTATGACGTAGAAGCCGAACGTGATAATAAAACTATACGAAGACAACTTGCTAAAGGAGGGATGACCACGGTTATTGGTGATCTTTATCAGTTGTGAACTAATGGCCAAAACCAGATTGTCAGAATGTTAGATAAAATAGGAAGAAAGCAAAACCGTATAGGTGAGTTTGTACAAGAAAAATTTGCCTTACAATTATTGTATCAGTGAAATGCTCACCACCTACAGTGAAGTAGAGGGGATATAGGTTTATTAGAATATAATTGAGACAGGCTTTATGAGCGATATGAGAAATGGAAAATAAGATTCGAGCAGAACGTCAGAATATTTTAAATTTGCAAGGACAAATTTTAGCATTACAGAATAATCCACCAAATCAAATAAACATGGCAACCATTTTTTGACTGGGATGATGATATCCCTGATTTTCTTGCGAAACTTAGATTACACTTGCAAAACTAAGGTGTAGATCTAGCTGATAATGCAGGAGGTCTACCAACAGGAAGAGATCAGGCAATAGAATATTTAAGAGGCTGTATGAGAGAAAAAACTTTAGAATGGTTCGATGATAAGATTACTACAAAGCAAAATTGGAAATTAGTAAATTTAACTAATAGCACAGGTCAAGCTAATTTAGTAGCTGTAAATGGGCATAATGCTAGACAGATAGGTGCTGATGGATTAAATGAGGCACTCGGACAAGCTGGAAATGCAATAGTAAAATTAAAAGCTGTAGAACGTCCTTGGGATGAGAACTGGCGCATAGCAGGAGGTCATCATATTAACCTTCTAGTAAATGCACCAAATGCTGGTAATAGAACTATAGTAGTTGTAGCAGGCATTCGTTTTAGTCAAGTCATATGGTGGCTAAAAACTCATTTCCCTACGGTAGAAGAGGGGCTTCAGGATATGATGTATGGAACAATCATAAAGGGAGACATGACTATAGATGAATTATATAAAAAAATATTACGAATAGGTAGACAAACTAACTATAGGCCTGAAGAATTACGTAGAAAGTTTTTAGATGTTCTTCCACTCCCATGGCTTGAAAAAGCTGAGGATATTGGTGAACATTTGCCATTGACTGAATTAGCTAAAAAGCTTTATGAGATAGAATTACGCCAAATAGCTAGACATAAAAGAGATAAAATATCTGATCCGCTAGTATCTAATCGAGCATCTCGGCAAATATATGAACCTTCACCTATTTTAGCCTTGCAATAACAAGGAATTTCTTTAGAAGATATGCAAAAAGCAATTTAAAACATACTGGCATAACAAAAAACTGAATACCAGTCTTTATTAGAAAAGCAGAAAAACGAATTCTAAGTGCAGATAGTCCAACAAAGCAAGAAACTCCTCCACCAATTCCATCCAAAAATATGAAGCAAATATGTGATTCATATGAAAATGATAATCCCTTTATTGGGCCTCCAACACCACATAAACCAGATAAGTATCGTTCAGCAAGAATCGATAGATTAGAAACTATAGTTGGTAAAGTTGCGGACACAGTTGGTACTGTTGCAGATTCTGTAGGTCAATTAAGTGATCGAATGGAAAGGATATCACTTAATGAACAATTATGAAAACCTTTTTATTGCAGTAATTGCGGACAAGAAGGTCATAAAAAAAATAATTGTCCTAACTTAAATCCTATAGCTAAATCAAATTTTACACGTTACTATTTTCAACTTTCAACTACGTAGTCCTAATACACGCCTTCAGATTCAGATAATGAGGAAGATGGTTATGATAAGGAAAATAATAGATGGACTGGATATGACCCACTGGTAAAAAAAACAGGTAAATGATAAGTTGGCTAGGGACACTAATGTGATTACACCCTTAGAATCTAGCCAACCCAAAATATATGATGAGCTGTTACTAAAACTTTCACTGGCAATGCGTAAAATGTGTCTATCTCGAAATGTTCAGGAGGAGAAGTCAAAAAAAGATGAGTGGTTTTCGTCTTTACAATACTTGAATGCTAATATAAATGATTTACCAATCTCTGAATATTTTTTAGATAATGGAAGTGAATTTAATGGATTTAATTTAGCTACTGTTGAAGTGCTTAGATGGAAAGTTAATAAGCCTTCCAAATTCACTGTAAAAGGTAATTCTGAACATATCTCTGAAGTACTAGAATGGTATACGAATGTAGCAGTCACTCTAAAGAACATGAAAAGGAATCCAATCATTACTATTGTTAGAAATTATGCTTGTGTTGATAATGGTGAGCCCAAGCTAATGCTATAGTTAGGTACAACAGGAATTCGAAAAATCAAAGGTATTTCTGATCCAACTAAAAATCAGTTTCGCATAGAGGATCATGGAAAGACATATATTATCCCAATTTTTAGCAAGGCTCCAGTAGTCAAAGATCCGCCAAAAGAAGATCAGGACTAAGTATCTACCAACTCCTCTAGCCTAAATAGTGAGAAGGACTTAAAAAAAATGCGTAAAGCTTGAAGAACAACTATTAAAAACTGAGAGATGGCTTAATATGGCATTAAATGCAGATCAGAAAAATGCTCACAACTTATGGAGAATAGATCGGATGCATGACAGCTTCTCTAGTAATATTTACTAATTTATTAAGATCAGATTCCTGTCTAGATGTATCGCTTCCTTTAGGAGCATTGTCTACTTTATTTTCATTTTTTTCCACTAAAGCCATGGAAGAAGAAGATTCGTCTTTTGGTTTTATACTAGCCTTTTTTTTCGACTAACTTTATCTTTTTGCCCATTAGTTATTGTATTCAGACTATTAGAATTTATATGGGAATTTGGACCATTCTCATCATCTGCAAGGTGTTCTGTATGAATGATCCCGTCTTTTTGTATGATAGTAAAGGAGGGAGTATCATGTGAAGATTCCTGATTATTTTCTGAAATCTGGTCAGAGATGCTAACAGATTCTATGATTCTACACCATTTCTTGGTAGGTTCAGGAGGCCTCTTATTATCAATTATTTTTTG